AGGCTATGTACACAGAGGCTATACCTGCAGTGGAAAGTGAGAATGGGCTCCAAGCAAGCGCTAGGTATGCAGAGGGATGGGGGCTGCAGATGTAGCACAGGTTCAAAGCATCAGTGGTGAATTTAGGAAGGCTGAGTATCTCCAGGGATCTGCTCCTGGACGGTCTTGGCCTCTGTCCTGCTCAGTCCCTCCAGACCACATGAATGATGGCTGAAAATACTCAGGCATCTCCCTTGGAAGAAGACTAAGGTGTGGCCCGTGTCTGGATGCATGCTCACATGGCAGTGCAGGCACTAGACAAGCTGGGATTCAAAATGTTGCTCAGGCTCCTATTGAAGTGACTGCAGGAACGCAGAAGGGCTGGGCATTGCCATTTCTGCCACTGAAAACAGTGGTAACAGAGTAGTAAAACTTCAACACAGGATTGGACTTCTGCCCTGGAGAGCCATGCTGTAAGAAGGGATGGGAGTGGGACCATTCCCAGTGCTGTGCTTCAGTGCTTTGCATTCCGTGTAACGGGTGTCTTTACATGAGCACTTCTAACCTACAGCAGAATTATTATTCTCAGCAATGATTATAGATGAAGCTGGATCCCTGACCCCATAAAGCTCTGGCAAAGGCAGAAATGTGAATCAGGACACAAGCGTGTGAGGCAGAGGATGTAGATAGCAGGAGCAGCTGTAACACATGGGATCAGGGCAGCAGGCACATTCTTCCCCAACAATGTCAAAAGTACTGAATTCAGCAAGCTTTAGCATTACAACTAAGTTATTCTTTGTTTTAAAAAACACTATTACTTACTTTCCTTGTGTTTATGGTACTCTTCCTCCACAAAGCAGATAGAGAGCTAAGGAGTTCTGCTAGAGCAGGATGTGGTAAGAAAGGCTGTTCTGAAGCCTCAGGTAGATGAAGTAAAACAGCATGGGATGAAGCAAAGGCAGAGCACCAAGCTTGGGCCTCCTCAGAGTTCAAAGCTGGAGTGGGAGAACCCAGATATGAGCCTGCTCCATTCGTTTAGAGCTTAGTATGAATTCAAAACTATGGGATCTGATTTCCCAGTTCTGTCCCTGACATAGCTGAAATCTCATAAGACAAGAGGCTTTATCTCTAAACTTAAAAGAATATCTGGTGGGTTTGCAGCATCATCATATTTCAGAACTCCCTAAAAACCCGAGCACCTCATACTCCAAAAGGATTACATTTGCATCCAAATTTTTAGCAACTGATTGGTATTTGAGCCTGAGCTTCTTAACTCTCCCAAGCAGAAACGATCCGAACATTAGAATTTCATTAGGGATCCCCTCTCTCATCTGCAGACTGAACCTCATGGAGGATGTAAACATATCTGATGAGACTGATGAGAAAGCATTTGGTAATGGATTCTTCTTCAGACCTGCCGGACGTGAAAAGAGAACTGAGGAGGAAAGTGTAGAGGGTGAGGGGTAGAATATATTAGGGAAAACCCTAAATGGGGGGCTTCTGGGCTTCCCAGTAGGAAGCAGAGAAGCTGTCAATGCCATTATGTACTAGCCCCCTCACATTGCTATGTCCCAGACTCATTTCCCCACCACTGGCGTGCTCCTGGTCTATTCTTCTGCCTCTTTTCTGATGCCAGCACTGGCATCTGGAGTTAGCAGCTGCCTCCTATCCATCAGCATATCTCCTTTTCTGGGCCAGCTGTCAATTAAGCTGGCTCATTGGTACAACATTGCCACCTTCCAGCTCCAGAAAGCAGCCCACAGTGTGCTGAACTGCCAGTCCCAGAGGCAATAGGCTGGTTGTTAGCTGTCAGACTGGGTAACCTCCGGACCATCCACAAATAAGTGATGGGAACAAGAAGCCAGTGTGTGGGGCCTAGTCCTGTTGGGAATTAAAATATCCTCTGTCCCTTTTAGCCTGATGTCTTTCCACTTCAATCACATGCAAACATCCTCTCCCACCTGACAGGTCTCTCCCTAGAACAATTTCTGCCCACCTAAGACAGTACAGCAACATCTGAAATGATGTCCTATAGCTCACTTCTTCCCTAGGAAGGAGGGAAGCAGGCAACTTTTCCTCCAAATTACTCCCAAAATTGCTAGCGAATCAAAGTAGGCACTGCTTCACTCAAATTGCTGATTGTAGCACTGGCTACAGCTCCTTCCCTCATCCCATTAGTTCATCAGGTTCAAACGCTGGGCTCTGAGGCCACTTGCCCTCCATCTGCAGGCTGTCGAGGTAGGAAGGGAAAATGAATGAGGCAGAAAGAAGCAGCCCATCCTGCAGCTCAGGCTGGGGCATCATTTCTCAGGCAAGGAAATGGCAGAGCAGCCTTACACCTCCACCCTCAGGAGCTTGCTGCACTGTACTTGTAGCACCCAGGGGCAAGTTTGAGCAGGGCTGACGAAACACTACAAGCTTCCATAGGGACTGTGCAAGCCTCACCAAAGCTCACAACACTTGGTGAGGGTACAATCAGCTCTGACATGTAAAATTCCCCTTCTGTAGTGCTACTGAGCAAAGCCAGCAGATGCGTGCTTCTTTTTCTGCAATGCTGGTGAATGCAGGGGGAGGCTTGCCTCTCCTGTGACTGTGCACGGCTGGCGTGGCGGCTGTGCTGCTGCAGCCAGGCTGGGAGCAAGGTCCAGGGAGTTACCTCCCTTCAGCAGCAGAAGGAAAGCAGCTGCCAGCTGCTGTGTGTCTCCAATCAGCACTTTGAGCAGCACATCCCCATCTGAAGTCTGCAGATAAGGGGCAAGTGCTTTGCGATAAAAGTTCCTTTTAAAGGAAGCATCTCCTGCAGAAGCTCACAGCATGCTCTGCCTCAGGAAGGCAGGGAGGATGGAAAGGGTAAAGGCCAGAGAGGAACATGTTCCAGCCTGGCTCCATCCCTCATTGTCTGCATTCCCAGCGCTCACAGTGAGCCAGGATGCAAACTGAAGGGTTTTTTCCATCTTCCTAAAATGGACTGCACTATTCCTTCCCTGCCAACTGCTGAAATGACCTTGAAGAGGGCAAGGAGAGGGGCAAAAATCTGAATAAGAGAAGCAGCAGTGTCACGTGTATCCTACCTCCAGCAGCATGATTGCCAAGGGTCAGGAGAGAAGCTCCAGAAAAGATTCTTCGAGTTCTCCCGACGCATAGCTGCACTGCTTCTACCTGCATGCAGCCATGGGAAGCTCTGTGCAAGGCAGCAAAGCACAATGGAGCTACAACCTGCTACACTCAGTCCCCTTCCTCACAGTGGATATGAGAGACCTTTCCTTTTGCCTTCCGTGCTGGAGAAACCAATCTCATCCACCTGGAAACAGCACAGGCCAGCTCTCCACTCTTCAGCACACATGCTCTCTGTGGACTAAAGCAGTCAGCGCCTGGCTAAGCAAGGCAATCTCCTGTATTTGGAAATAATCTCATTCACAGTGTATAAGGCAGTGCTGCAAGATGAACTTCCCAGGAAAAGTGACAGTGTCTTGCTACTAGAGGCAGTTAAAACTTATCTTACAACAGCCCCTGAAGATCAGATAGCTGAGTGCCAGGACAGACGTGATGATGCAGCAGGCCTTCGCCATCGTTCTTTTCTTCCTCATTCTGTTAGACTGGTTCTGCCTCACTCTCGAGACAAAACGCAAATGTGTCTTCAGATCTGGAGGGCAGAGAGCTAAAGGAGAAAGTTCTTATTCATCTTCTGTCGTACCTACAAGGTTGGGATGATTTATCAGCTGAAAAAGCCAGCTGGTAAGATGCCTGCACATACTGGCAGGCAGCAGATCTTCGTGGAAGTGTTTGGAATGCAGAGGAGCAAGGCTTATGCATAGGCCAAGCCTGTGGGGAGGGGGAAAGCCTGCTGGGGAAAGCACAATTAACCTGAATCACACTTTTTTTTTTTCCTCTCTCTCACTCGCTTTCAATTGTGGTGGCGAGACAATGACTAGAAATTGCTTCTCTGCATAAGGTCTTTCATTGGTGGTCACTGCTGAGCCCTGACAGACACCTCTGGACTTTGGCTGCATGCAATTTATATAATTAACTAGACAATTCCAGCTTAATTCTTTGCAGCATCAGAAAAGCCAGACACACTGATGGGATGAAGTGGAATTAGTGGATGTTTGGGTGATGCATATTGGAGAGGAGTCTAATCAACCCTATTTGAGGGACAGCCTCTCCAAATTGGGCTGCACTGAGATGCAGCAAATCAAGAGGAATTAACACCCGGTAGTTTGCTGGGTGAAAAAAATATATAAATGAGAAGAAAAAAATAAAAAAAGAACACAACAAACACAGCTGCTGCGTCTTAACTGTTTTCCACCCCCTCCAGGGACTTGAGGAAGAGCAGGCCTGTCAGCTGCTTTAAGAGACATTATCCTCACAGTTTCTTCCCAGTGTTTACAAGGAGGCACTGCTGCTCCTTGTCTGACTGTTCGTCACTGCCAGCACGCAGAGGTTCTCACCTGCTGCAGATTTCCCCATGCAACCCTCCGTGTCGGAGTAGGGCTCTGTGCACCACCTCAGCACTGGGCAGTGTTTTGTGGACCCCAACTTTTCCCCTTCCTGAGCCTGCTGCACACAGTGCTGCACCAAGCACTTCTTTTCCAATTTGTCCCCAGTCACCTTCAGGTCTTGGCCCTGACCTCAGTATTTCCCCTCTGGCTTGTCATCTCTGATTCCAAGTCCAATTGCACACTCTGAAGACCATCATCTTCTTTTCTTGACTCAAATCCAAACTTGAGAAACGCATTCATGAATTTTCCCCTCCTCTCGTGCCTCTCAGGGACCAAAGATCCCAAGTAAGCATGATACCATCCTCTTCTCATCTATCTCAAGTCAACAATTCAAGAGAAATGCTATTAGGCATAGCATAGTATAATGAACAGCCACAAAATGTAAAGATTTCTACGTACCAGAATGGGTTAGGGCTTTGTTTCTACAAAAGAGCAGGAACAGTGCCCAGTTTTACATTTGTTCCTTGACTAAAATACCCTGTGTGTGGTGCAGGACACTTTAGGAAGTGCTAGGGGTAGAAGTACTTGAGAGGAGGCATATTTATCAGAAGCAGGGCAATTAACACTGCTCTCTCCAATTCTGTGTGCACTCTTGTTGAAGAGCTTTTGGAAAGACATTATCCAGTGCACAGCTCCAGCTGCTGTTGTTCTGCAGGACTTCCTGCTTAGGAAGGAGAGAAGAAACAAAGGGAGGAATCATTACCAAAATATCCCTAACTGTGAAGGACAAAGTGAGTGAGGCAGGAAGGGCAGAGAATGGGGGACACTTGTTCCCTGGAATGAACCTTGGGGGGTGAAAATCAGCATCATCAACATCATATTGGAATTGTTGCCTGGTGACACAGCATAGGAATGAAAAAAGATTCTTGTACTGAGGTCATAGACGCAGTTCCGAGTTCTTTTCCATAAAGACAAGGAGAATTTTGCCATGCATTGCAAAAAGATTGCATAAACATTTTCCATTCTGACTGGGAACATGGAAAATGCCTCATCCTTTCCTCTAGCCCTTGGGGTGTTCCTGCTTAATCAAAACTGGGAGAGGGAGGAGTTAAAGAAGAAGAGGAAGCTTAAAAATATGCATCCTTGTGGGAAAAGCAAGAATAAAATGTCATCTCTCTGCTCTGAAAAAGTTACTACATTGATTTCTGTTTCATAAAAATGAGGTTAAGTTGAATACATTAAGCTGGCAAACTGGATAATTGCATGTCCTGAAACTGTCTTCAAAACAGCTCTTTTCACAGCGGTGCTCAGAAAATAACTTCATCAATAAGGCTCTTGCCCATTAAACCTTCGTACTTCTCTGTGTATGAAGGAGTGAAGCTTGTCCTTCCCCAGAAAGATCTTTTCCTCCTTTCACCTCAAACTAGCAAAGAAAGTTAAGGCTGTTTTACACTGTATTAGCATGAACAGTGTTCCCCAGGGCTTGGTACTGGGGCCTGTCCTGTTCAATATCTTTACTGATGACCTGGATGAGGGCATTAAGTGCACCCCCAGTAAATTTGCAGGTAACACCAAACTGGGAGGAAGTGGGGACAGGAAGGCCCTACAGAGGGATCTGGACAAGCTGTGATCACTGAGCTGAGGGCAACGGGATGAAGTTCAACAAGACCAAGTGCTGGGTCCTGCACTTTGGCCACATGAATCCTATGTATTGCTACAGGCTTGGGGCAGAGCTTCTGGAAAACTGTGTAGAGGAAATGGACCTGGGAATTTTGGTCCATGCTCAGCTGAACACGAGCCAGCAGTGTGCCCAGGTGGACAAGGAGGCCAATGGCATCCTGGCTGGTGTCAGCAGTAGTGCAGCCAGCAGGAGCAGGGAGGTGATCATCCCTCTGTGCTCAGCTCTGGTGAGGCTGCACCTGCAGTGCTGTGTTCAGTGCTGGGCCCCTCGCTGCCAGAAAGACACTGGGGCCCTGCAGTGTGTACAGAGATGGGCAGCAGAGCTGTGAGGGGTCTGGAGCACAGTGTTATGGGGAGCTGCTGAGGAGCTGGGATGGGTCAGTGTGGAGAAGAGGAGGCTCAGGGCAGACCTCGTCGCTCTCTACAACTCCTTGACAGGAGGTTGTGGTGAGATGGGGGTTGGCATCTGTGCCCATGTAACAAGAGACAGGATGAGTGGGAATGGCCTCGAGTTGTGCCACGGGAGATTTAGGCTGGACATTAGGAAATATTTCTTCACTGAATGAGTGGTCAGGCTCAAGGACAGGCTGCCCAGAGAGATGATGGAGTCACCAATCCTGGAAGCGCTCAAAAAGCATTTGGACGTTGTACTGAGGGACATGGTTTAGAGGGAAATATTGGTGGTAGATGGACACGGTGTACTGCAGTCTTGAACTGTGGCTGGCAACTTTTTTCTCTGGTGTGGAAGTGAGAAGTGCTGCCCTGTGGAGGAACATTCCCTCTTCCTGCAGCCAGCATGGCCCAGGTCAGGCTAGCTGAGCCTTTGTGCACACCTCAGGCAGGATGGAGCCTGCCTCTTCTGCACAGCTGACATCGCTCTATCCCCTTTCCTCAGTGCACAGCATCTTCTAAAAGTAAGAGTTTGCCTTTGGCTACTTTGTTTGCTCAGCAAGGCAGATGAATTCCTCAGCTCACAGCATTATCTAGTGATGGTTCTAGGGCCACAAGTCCAAACACTGCACTCAGACCAAGAGTCTGCGAGAGAGACTGAGCCTTCTTGCCCTTCCTGGAGCCCGACAACAGGTCAGTACTTGCCACAGGGTGCAGTAAATGCCTACAGACAACAAGATGTGCTGATATTTGTCTCTCGTGGTAAAAAGCCTCATGCAGCCATACTCCTCCTTACACTCCCCAACACCCTTTTGTCCTTCCCTTTCTTCTTCTTTTTTTCTTTTTCTTTTCCTTTTTTTTTCCCCCACAGTTAAGCTCCTGCTTCATTCAGGTGACATATGGATGTGGCACAGTCCCTTCCAACCCTGTCTTCCTAAATAAGAACAGTGAGGTGAGGCAATGCTGTTCTCTTTAGCTACCTCATTACAGTTTTTCACTTGATATGAATGCAATCAATAGTGCCTTCCTGGAAGAAGCTGCAATGAGAGGAGCAATTAATTTGCTCCCACTTGCCAAGGCTAACGTGCCTCAGCCATGCTGGCCTTAAAGTACCATATGAGTCTGTCAGAACATTATTCCCATACAGCTAATGCAAAAACAGATTTGGCAGTGGATCAGCAACCCAAATGATAACAGGAATCTCCCTCCGAATGGCTCCAAAAGCTGCACTGGTTGTTCCTAATGCCAGCAGTATGTAGTGATACATCACATAAACAGTGTGGCAGGCTGTATCACTACGTTGAGGGGCACGTCCTATCAACACAGAGCCTCTACAATAAGTCTTAGAAAATGGCACTGCTTGCAGGAGGAACCTCCTCACACCAGATTCCTTTGAGGACCCTCTGTCACTGTGACACAACAGCAATAACAAGGCCTGCCAGGAAGTCCTCTCCAAAAACAATGGCCTGAAGCAGAACAGCAGGCAGCTTGCAAGATATGGGAGTTGAGCTGCAGACAGCTGGTGCTGGCAGAGAGATGTGGGGACGTGAGCTCTTTGAGAGAAAGGCAACTTACACAGCATCCAGTGAAGGAGTAGGACAGGAGGAGCTGGAAGGAAGAGGAAAATGAAAGGCTGGAGCAACACAATGATTAGGGATCATTAGGAACTCAGCCTTTCTCTTTTGAAAACCTTTATAATTTCAGGGCAGTGTAGAAGAGCAGATTGACAGCCCCGTGACACATGGAACAGGAGGCTGGGCACCAGCAAGACCCTCTTGTTACAATCCCTATGCCATGACCCAGGGAGACTTCAGGTGTGCAGGGGAACTGAAACCCCACTGCTGCTACAAAGGGGAGCCTGAGGCTCACCAGGGCCAGCCCCAGCTGATTCTGTCATGCAGGTACCTGCCTACAAGGAACACATCAGAGACAACACAGCCAGGAGATGGCAAATGGCTTTCACTTGCTGCAAGCAGGATCTGAACTACTGACCTAGAGACAAATGGCTCCGCGCCCTACTCCCAGCCCCTCGAGCCATCTATTCCCCGTATCATACCATCCTGTTGACAGGAGACGCATTAAGCACTGCCAGAAGGTGACTGCAAAAAATAGAAAAGGCTTTTTCCTTTTTATGGCACCCTTTGTAGCTGTGCAGCTATTCAAATATTTGCCTTGCTCCTTGTAATTCATTATAAGCGATTTTTTATGATACTGTCTTTGTAACTGTGCACTCCCGTTGCACAGGTGGAAAGCTTAATTTGTGTTACAGCAGCAGAGCCTCCTGTTGAAGACAAACTCTGCCAGAAGAAAATTTTTAGGTGTCTTCCTCCTGAGAGGTGACACAGGGCAGGGCTGGGTCACTACCTGCCCAGAGGCAGTGGTAGATGCAGTGTCTGTACGGAAATAAGGAACACCTGCCTGCTTTGGTCATCTGTCCTCTCTTCACAACGACATTCTGCACAGGAGAAAATAGCTTGATGGAAAAAGCTGGGGTAAAATCCTAAGCAGTTTTCTTCTAATATGTCAGCGTTAGTTTTTTGCTATTGATTGCAGCGCAGCCGGGATTTTTTCTAAAAGGAAAAGATGCTCCAGTTTTGGGTCACTGTGCAGAGAGAATGCAAATTACCACAACAGGCATTATGATTCTAATAAGCTCTTGCAATGACATTAAGACAAATGCTTAATAATGCTGCCTTCAGAAATTAGGTAATGCAAACTAAGGAAGAAACCCAGCCTGTTCTCCCTCTCCCTGCCTCATTCCCCGTGTTTGCTGAGTCTGATTTTACTCAAGGGTGGTCAGAGGTTTTAATGAGTTACTCTCATGGGGCTGCCTTGCTATTTAACGCGACAGAATTGCAAATCATATCGATGAAAAATCTGCTAAGCTATTTTGAACTGCTCATGGAATGGGACCCCGCTGTGCTGCTTGAGTACAATCATTTCGCCCAGCTCCTCCCCTCTCAGGAGCTAGTTATGGATTTGGACTAACATTACATCCCCCAGGCCACTAGCCATGTTAATTTAATTTAATTTAAGGAAGGCTACAAATAGGTCAGAAAAACCGAGGGGAATTAGTTGTTCAAACGAAAATGAAAATCAATTGAGAGCCATATTCTCATATTCTTTGGAAGCTCTCTCCTTGTTCTTCCACATAACCCCTCGAGACTTTGGATCCGTTTTTGGAATATCTCTGAATCTTCCTAAAAGCAATGTCATCTTTCAGATGATGCAATCTGTGGCCAATAGCAGACCTGAGAAGATGCATTTCCTCTATTCTGAAACTTCTGTATAATGTGGACGCTCAAGTGAAGGAAATGACAGCAATCAGGAAGGTTTCCATGTTTACCTTGAAGTAAGAGTTTGAAAAATCAATAAATTGTCCTTTTCTTCACATTCCAGACACTGAAATTAAAAACTGTAACTTCTTTTTTATCCAACACAAATCTTACAAAGTCCCCTCACTTATGATAATCTCTTATCATTGAAAACCATCTATTTCCTTTCCTTCCCACCATAATTTCTCACAAAGATTCTGAGATGTTTTGGCTAGCACTGCTTATGTGCTATTTGGAAACCAATTTATAGGAGCAGGACTTTACTGGTATCCCAATAAACGTCCCTTGTTCATGAGTCACAATAGCTTGATCTTAAACATAGGTTACAGCCTCCTGGCACCAAACACTGGGGTAGATGTTGTGCATAAAATAGGGAAAGCTCAGCAAACTGCTCTTACAAAAAATAATAATAAAGAAAAAAAAAATTCAATCAATTCTGCCCATGAAAACCTAAAGGGAATTTTGTTTAACACTCACAATCTGCACTGCATTTTGATTGGGTATATGGGTTACATGGCATTATTCTGCTTTCATTATTTCTGCTGGGTGACCTTGGGATGAGGTTTGTAAGATGCTGATATTCAGAGCTGGCTTTCTTGGAGCAGTTTCTCAAAGACAACAGCTCTCTGTGTCTGTGAGCCACAGCGTGCCCCCATTTTCACATGCCAAGAACCACAAACCTGCCCAGCCATTCTGCAAAGAGCTGCTGGAGTGCTTCAAAGGCCAAGAGCTCCCCTGGGCTGCCACCAAGCCAGCCAGTGTGAAGCAGGGTTATGCTGGGTGTGTGCAGTT